TACTCGCGACACGTTCAGTGATCGCGATCGGTTGACAAAGCTAGGAAACTTCGTTCGAGAGATACTAATACCGCGCATTTTCTATCGCCGCTCGCTCGTCCAGTTCGAATACACCTGTTGATCCTGCTGAACTCGAGCCGGATAGGCGAACAGGCTATTTTGCGGCGAGCCGGAGGTTCGAAGCGTGCATTATCGTTATCGTGGCGCTAGGTACAATTGCGAAGGCGTCACGTTGGTCTCAATGGTGGCAATCCACGACTAATCGAGAATGGTATTGAAACGCACGTACTGGGTAGTCCTGAATAAACGGCTTTATCGTCGCGTGTACTTCCTGCTTTTGCGGCGTACCGTAAGAACCAACCTGCTGCCATAAAAGACACCTCATAAAAAAAAAGAAATGCCTCTCAAACATATCACAAATTCATTAAAAATAATGAGAGGTATATAAGTCTCTATAGTTAAAAAGAATCCCCCTTTTTTTTTTTCATTTTTGTCATTCATTTGCGAAAAGAAACTGAGAAAAGTCGCGGAAAATTGGAAGAAACCCGGATTTTTTCCGAGCCTTTATGCAAGTCTCTCAAACATGGACTTCGAAATGCACATATAGACGCGACATTCGTACGCTAAACCGAAACTTCATTATTTTCAAAATACATTCGAAACGTATTCTTGTTCCCTCTTCCCTTCTCTCCCTCTCTTCGCAGTGAATTTATTGCTAAACGCGAGTCAACGTTCGACGCGCATGTAAAATTAAACTTCGATGTAATGGCAGAACGCGTATCTCGTAACGGTGTAAATTTGGAATCGGAGTTCACGAACCTCGAGGCGAGCCTAAATATTTGGAGCGACGGCTCGCGTAAACGTCCGCTGTTAAACGAAAACGGTTGGCTCCGCACGGGGCCGCACTTAGCTCTTTCGAGCACGTGTACATCATCGAGAAAGAGAGAGAGAGAGAGAAAGAGAGTGCAAGAGGCTCCGTGTACTTACACTTCGTGTACCTACACTTGCCGCACTGATCTTTACCGCGTGGCGATTATACCAGGCGGTTTCCTTAAGCGAAACCATATGCCGCGGCTGCTTAGTCCTGCGCGAAGCGCCCGTATATTTGCGCGGCGGACAATCCTAAACGGATTACCGCGAATTACCTAGATTCACGCCGCCTTATTGGTATTAAGTTGCCACAAATAGTCGGAATTAATGGCACAGCGACGATAAAATTAACTTTCTCACTATTTTTGCAGGATATTTTCAGCAAAGAACAGAAGCCCCAATAAAATCTATAAACCAATGTATTATTCACTTTACCTAAAGTCGACCCAAATTTTCACTGCAAAGTGACATGTCCATTCCTCAAGTTATTCACAACCCAGAAATTATTGATCTCTCTCGTTATTCTCGTAAAAAGATTCGAACTCCAGATTTCACGAAATGATCCTCATTAATGGGTATTAATGGTCCTCATTAATGCGTATCAATATAACAGACGACTGTTCGAATTACACCTTATCAAAGAGCATTTAAACATGCACTTTGAGACACGCACATGTGCGCGATGCTTGAATGAGATGCAAGTAGCTGGCTATATTTCGCAAAATCAGGGCATCTTCGCGAGACGTCTGCCTTCTCTCAGTGGAGCGTGTCGCGACGCACAAACGAGCCTTAATTCCCGGCGGATCGCGCGCGCGTAATCGCGGAATTATGTCACGGCGTAGCCGCGCGCGCGCGATTCCTCGACGGGTCTGGTGCGTTACGTCATGTTGCCGAGATGCGTGGAAACAGGGAGAGGCGCCGCGACCACCGCCACCGCCTCCGTTACATATTTGGTAGGATATCGTTATGCGACGAGGTCGAGCGATCGAGCGCGCAGGACGCATCTCGCGCGGAGACGAAGGAAAAGGAGAACCGGATCCGGACACCGGTCGGTCGTCGTTATTTATGAAGGATTCACTCGACATTCTGCTCGAGGAAAAGATCCGCGGGAATCTGCCGATTTTTCTGCGCGCCTAAGTGTTCTCAACTCTTTAAAGCCCTTAGGTGTACATAATAATGTACATTAACTTTGGGCCTTCCCCAAGTTTCGTCTCTTGGTAAAATAACAGTTTCGTAGATATAATATTATTAAACCCCATTCTAAATAAAGTTATATTCTCCGTCCTAACCCGAATGAAATAGCCTAAAAGAAAAAAAAAATCAGGTGGAAATCTATACAGGAAATCCATATGGAATCTCTTTGTTGCCACTCGTAGGAAAAGCTATTTTCGCGCTCGAAAACATTATCCCCGCGCATCTCGCGCGTTCAATTTTGCAATGACAGAGATCTCGCCAGCCTACTATGATACGCTTCCCTTTTTATATCTTACTTTTATATTACTTCGCTACGTGTGTATCTCTCGTCGTTGACACGCATTTCTTCTCGGACGTAGATAAAGAAGAGATATAAAACCGCGTGGCCAGCCCGAGGGAGGAAGAAGAAGAAGAAGAAGAAGATGAAAAAAGAGAAAATGCGGAATCAGCTTGCATACATATTCTCGCGTGCGCGTTCGCTGAGATTGTCGGGAGGAGCCGCTTTGAGCGATCCCACGCACTTAAGTTAATTGCACGAATTACGCTGACGACGTGATATTGATATTAGGGGATAATGCGCGCACGTGAATGGCTTCACTAAGCGAGTTCAGGCGGCTTTTGACGTTTCCTCGCGTCATTCGTTAAATATAATTAGCCGCACGCTCATCTCTCTCAGAGCATTCGCGGAAGTTCAGGCACCAATATATGTATTAGATTTTTACGTGCGCCACACACGTCTCGGTAGCGAAACGGCAACACTGACGTCGCATTAAATTTCTCTCTCGCTGCCATTATATCTGGCTTAATTTAGCGGAATAAGTTTGTCGGGAGAGGCGAAAAGGCATATTCCTCTTTAGGAGGACTGAAAGTTACCGGCACGCCTGGGAAATGAAAAATGATTTGCGTCGCTCTTATTCCGCCGCAATATGGAGCCGCATTTCCAGATCCTCTTCCCCGCGATATTTAAGTAGAACGACGCCGTCCTTCGCAGTAACGTAATGACGACATTGAGATTATGCGGCCGCGGTTATATCATTGCATAAGTAACAATAGCCTTGAGATGAGACCGAGCTTACAGCTTAAAAAGTCCCTCGAGCAGCGTCCTCTCTCCTGCGAATCTTCGCCGATGTGCGAATTTCTCAAACAGTCCGCCACGAGCAATTCAGGTCGTACGAATTTTTACGAACGTTTCCGGAAAAATGCTTTGTTTTCCCATGTCTTTGTCCGACACTCGTCGCCAATTTCGTCCCTGCTCGTCGACCGGCACATGTTCGTCGAGTCATCCGAAAAATTCTCCGCATCGTGCGCACTTTGTATCCTGCGACGAACGATAACATCATAAAGTGCAGAACAAAAATGAGGCACGTGCAGAGAGATCGCGGACAAGCGAGGGGAGAGGAGCGGTATACACGGACGGGTACACGATGTCGCGAAGGTTCCTTGAAAGCCTGGCCGGTCCTGGAGCGCGTCGTTGACACAAGCAGAACTTTCATCTACAAGGCAAATGTGTGGAAGCACGATTCCGTTTTCGTTCTCTTCCACGTTATTCAAATAGAGCGCGCGGCCGGCCTTCGTATTACACTGGCGTAGTGACAGGTTTATCGCAATATCGGTTGTCAATTTAGAAATCTATGAATACGCGAGACTGAGAAAAACTCTCGCGAATCGACAGACGAAGTATTCCTTTCCAAGGAGGATCTACAAATGTCGATCTTATCTTACCTGTCAGAAAAGTTCTTTCAATTACGAAAGAATAGCTCGCTCCGGACGGAATGATTTCGCGAGATATTGAGTCGTCCGCGCAGTAGAAAACATTTTGTACTTGGGTGAAAATCAGTCCTTGTTGACATTTTTGTGTTAAATCTTTAACACATCCGTGCGTTTTGTGTTATCTCAGCATTTTGTGTCGCGTCGATATTCAACATGTGTACGTTAAAATGATACATTTTACACTTCAATGTCGATTAACGTATTTGAATTTTGTACTAATTCTTGACATAATATTCGCATTACTTTTCATATTCATCTTATGTTAAATTAACGCCGAAATTTAAGTGGACCGTTTGAAATGTATAAAATACGTTGAATACAACACAACATTTTTTACCGTGCAGACGTTTCTTCGTCAGGAATTTCATTTTCCGTAAAAGCTCGAATCAATTAGCCGCACGCGATATTTACTTTCCCGTTTATACCGGTGTTAATAGCAGGATTACTTTGTTCATTACAAGCTTCGCGATGTCTGAGATCCGGAAAGGAGATTGGCGAGCAGAAACGGCGGAAACGAACATTTGAAGAATCACGACGTTTATTTCGACGTTACAAAAGCGACGAGAAGAATATGGAAGCGGGACGACGAGGTATTCTCGACGTCGCTCCGCACTTCGAGCCCGCAAGTTTCGCTTACGCCACTGGCCGCAATCAATGCGTTCTTCCTCTTCAGCAGTCCCTGTCCTCGATTCCGATTTTTTAACGATATAACAAAACCGTTTTTTAATCAATTTTTATCGCGCGCGCACCCCGACAAGATCCGTCGTTGTAGATACTTTATTTCCATTCTAGATAAATGCAATTTATCGCGCGTTGCGCGTAATATTCGTTTTCTGTTGGCGCGCGACCGCCGCCGTTCGTCGTTAATAAAGCGGCGTTTTCGTGTATGAAATTAGAAATATCAAAACTCCCCGCGGAACTTGGAGCGCCCGGGAGCTCTTCTGCACTTCTCCCCGACTTTATGTTTCCGGGATAAGTGAAAAAAAGATTTCGTAAAGCCCGACGCTTCCCCGTGCGGTTCGCGCGTTAAACCGGCTTGTCCGCTGAAATCCGGTTGAAACCTCGGTCGAAATTATTGATGCCGGCGGAAAAACGGTTGGCGCGTACTCGAACCGCTCGCAAGGAGGAATTTTCTCTAACGAGCGCACTCGTGACGTTTGTTTCAGATCTGCAGAGACTCGTACAAATGCAACTGTGCCGGAATCAAAGGGCAGCCGGGATACCATGGGATATCTGGGCCCAGCGGGACGGAGGGTCTTCCAGGCGACATCGGGCCCGACGGACCACCCGGACCCAAGGGCGAGAAGGGAGCGGGCGGGGAGCCCGGAGGTACCGGGGAGAAGGGCTACCGAGTGAGTAGATTAATCCCTACATCATTAAGCAGATTCCGTGATACTTCGGGGCTTTTACAAAGTGAGGCATTAAGTGCGCACTGATACAGCGAGGTAACTTGAGCTAGGCTTCGAGATAAGCTCTTTAGAGCTGGCCGGCAGCGTCCAACGTCGACGAGGAGAACGACGTAGAGAAGGATAGTCTCTCGATCCGCGGGCTCTCGAAGCTGTCTCGAGAATTTCCGTCGGGAACGCTTAAGATTTGTACACTATCTGGAAATATTTGTCGAGCGGTAACCGCCGACCCCGCTTCATTTCCATGTCCGGGTGGGTCCTCGGTGGGTCGTTACGTAAAACTTTTCTTTCCTAAGCAGCATAAAAGCAGACCGAGGGCGTCGCGCTCGGAGATTTGCGATCCGTTTCGCGATCGTCTCTCGGCCGAACGAAGCGGAAGGGCCGCGAATCGTCATAAAAGAAACTTCTGGTGGCGAACTGCTAATAAGTCATTATTGTTATTGAAATCTCGATGTGAACCGTCTCGATGTGAACGCGTACGCGTACACGAGATAACATTCGAGTGTCGATGGTATTATTTTGTGAAAATGATTCTTCTCTTTTCTCACTGCGTCTCGCACGCCGTCGTACGTGCTTCTAGCGCAATAACTCTATCCATATATCGCGCGCGCATGCACGTGCGACCGCCGGCTAAACCAATTACAACGCTAATTAGTTTCTTTACAGGCGGCCGTTTCGCGTTTTAATTAAAGTTCGCGACGCGACGCGAGTTTGTTTGCGGGTGTATTGGTGTCGTTAACGGTTTTAACGAAGTAATCGTCAATTTACGTAAAATTTCGCCTATTATCCCGGACGATTTCTCCGCGTCCAAGGAAATCAATAAGCCGGACGGGACGTCGCGAATGTTAATCTACTTAAACCGTAAACTCGCAGAGGCGATTACTCAAACGGAACACCGAGCACCGATTCTACGGGATACTACGCGCGCGCACAAACGACCGTCGAGAAATGAAAAAGAAGATACGTCGCTATAATTGGGTCGTCGAGAGCGAAAGGATTAAAAAACGCTGATGAGAACGGCAGACCTGTGTAACCGTCGCGTTTTCCATTCTCTCCATTCGGACGCGATTTTTGTCGCCGGCGAACATATGCTGGAATCGGCCGAAAAGACTGAGAGAGAGGGAATGAGAAAAAAAAAGAAACGACAAAAAGAGAAGAATGAAAAACGCAGGGACACCGTGGCGTCACCGGCCAGAAACGGAACGCTTCCAAATGCGGAGGAAGAGGGAAGATCGCGCGAAACGAGAGGGAATTACGGGCGAGCTGACACCCACGATGCCCGCCCGCACTACCGAGAGAAGAGTCTCTGTTATGCAGCAGAAACCGCGAATCCGCTGCGTTTCGCAATCTGTCGACCGGCATCGATGCGCGACACACCGCGCGATATGACACAAGGCGGTGATAAACCGGTAACCGCTTCTCGGCCGAGGATGTGTCGCACACATCCTGGATGGACTCGCGCACTCGTCGCGTACGTACGAAAAATACACGCGACATGCACGCAGGTTCTAAGGCCCCCGTATCAATAGTCGTCGCACGAAACTTGTTTCGTGTGAGATACTCGGATTTAAATTTGGAATTAGATTTGAGGGTTTTTTTTTTTCTTTAAACCGTACAGTGCACGCGACGGACGTTACGTTTGTAAACGCGAATCAGCGGAAAAACTCGTGTCTAACTCTAAATTCAAATCTGAATATCTCATCTGTGTGGCAAATCTCAAGTATGGTCAACGAATTTCATATCATAAATTGTATCCTTTTTGAATTTTAATTTTTCTCTATTTATGTTTATGTGTTGAAACAGAAAATGTCAATGAAAAAAGAAATTTAGCTATAGTTCAAGAAATACACGCTATATTTTAATTTTTCTAAATTAATAGTATGACGTACGAAAAGAAAACTGCAGAACGTATTTTTATTATAATTTTTTATTTTTTTTAATTTTTTAATTTTTAGAATGTTTTATACTGTCAGAAACACTGAAATTTCTTTTAAATATTACATTATTAGGCTTTTCAACGGTTTTAAAATGAAAAATGTTACAACGAAAGAATAGAAATATACGAGGGCGGTCCGATAAGTACTTAGCCTACAAAAGAAAAACGAAAATTTTGGAAAAATGGCGATTTATTTCTCAACATAGTCTCTTTTTAGCTCGATACACTTGACCCAGCGATGCTCCAACTTCTTTAACCCATCTGAAAAATACGTTTTCTCGAAGTCTGCAAAGGCCTCCGTGGCGGCGATGACCTCCTCATTCGACTCAAATTTCTGCCCGACGAGTGACTTTTCAAGTTTGGAAACAAAAAAAGTCGCACGGGGCCAAATCTGAAGAATACGGTGGATGGGGCAGCAATTCGTAGTCCAATTCGACCAATTTGGCCAAATGAGGAGGTCATCGCCGCCACGGAGGCCTACTTTGTAGACTTCGAGAAAACGTATTTTTCAGATGGGTTAAAGAAGTTGGAGCATCGCTGGGTCAAGTGTATTGAGCTAAAAGGAGACTATGTTGAGAAATAAATCGCCACTTTTCCAAAATTTTCGTTTTTCTTTTGTAGGCTAAGTACTTATCGGACTGCCCTCGTAATTCGAATCGTATATAGCATATACGACATTGTGTGCGTAATCGCGATTTGGCTAAAAACTTCACATCTAGCACGAAATGAAAATTTGAGTATCTAAAGAGAAGTTTCATGTAATGGCTATTGATACAGGCTAATAAAAGGCTCGAGCGAGGTGCGCTTCGTGCTTCTTGCAAATTCAGGCCGTGTCGTGCAATCCTCCTGGCGAATTTTCGAGTCGAAGCTAATTTAAGAATTAACACTTAATTGAAAGCTTCGTTTCTGGACTTAATCTGGGACACTCCATATACTAATTTATATTTTAAACTGTGTCGTGCGTTGCTTTGCACGTTTCACTTTTTTTTTCCAATTGACATCGTTTTTCACGTTTTCCCTATTTTTGTGTTTGCTCTTATTTTTTTTTATTCACTCTCAATCAACCGTTTCTAAGCTGTCAATACGAAACTCATCACCGATCCGAATTTCCGAACGCAAATCGTACGTTCGACAAGCCATCAGAGCCGCTGAAAAGCGACATTTGCGCGATTTTTATAATGCATTACTTTTACCAAACAAATATATTTTGCGTCCTTTCTCCGACACGTAATAAAAACTGAAAACATCCCGAGAGATTTGCTTCATAAATAAACGTTATATATTCTCGATGTAAATTTCTATTTATAATTTCATCGTAATTAATCACAATTATTTGCGTAATCACGCAGTTGGCTATTTACGCGGGAGGCAACTTTTTAATCCACAGTAATTAAAAAAATATTTACTGGGACCGCGCGAATATTTTCGCCTGACAAATGCGCTGTTCCCCGTAATGTCCTACTCGAGAATTGTGATGCACGCGGAAAGAGAGTAAAAGTTGCGAAGCGACTGGGTAAAACCGATTTTATGAATACAGCCGTAGAAATTGTATGTGCAGTCTTCGACTGTGTGTGTGTGTGTGTGTGTGTGTACTTCATTAGAATAATAAAATTAAATCGCGGCAAAAACATACTATCACCGAATTGTCGCGCGACGCGGAGTGCGATTTAGTATTCGCGATTACCGAAATGTCACGAATAAATAAAACAGCGCGGTGTACGTGTCGGTAATGACGACGACGGTGGTATTGGTGCGCGTACAAACGCGACCGCGCCGGCACATCTCGCGCGTTTATTAATCGCGCGAGGGCGCAAATTATTCATTCGCGTGCGGACTGCGAAATAGGACGGCGTCAATCTTCGCGACTGAAACGTTGAATTAAATCCTCCATATCGCAATTAGTTTGGCAGCTTACATGTGCACATACACCGCTCCTAATTATTTAAATGTCCACTTGGCTTTATTGATTAATCGCGATAAATACATCTTACAAAATGTGTCAGATACAAATAGATATCTCTTAAAGAAGACGTGTCCTTCACTGCAGCTCCGTCGCAGGCGGAATCGGTTTTCGTCGTCGGAAGTACGGCGAGTCGTCGATGAAGCTTTTCAGCTTTCGAACGATCAAAATTACAGGGTGCTTTGCGAATTGCACAAGTTTCAGTTAAATAGACAACGAAATTTCTAATATCCTACGTTTGATTTTTCAAACGGATTTTCCTTTAATAGAATTGCAATTTAAACTTGACGAGGTGCGCAGGTATCTGAGATATTAGGAAAGTTATTATTAAATTTTCCGTATTTATCTTCTTAAAATTCCCTCCCGACCGTTTGGAAATTCAACCGAAGTCGATGACTTCACGAGGCAACGCCAACGCTAGAGGCTCCCTAACGTGATTTATTTGCTATCGTGGGCGTGCGGTTCACGATCATGTTAATGGAACTGGAGGAGACGCTCCAAGAAAAATAACGTCGATTACCGGAAGTAGCTCGTCACCTTTCCTCGGCACATCAAACGCTCCACTTTCCACTGGTCCCGAAAACTTTCGATCGATGCAAACAGGAAGTGTCGCCTGCCCCGCCGTCGGCGTAATCAATTCGTTACGCAAGAACGAAAATTTTGGTTATTATCACGGACCGTCATGCCGCCACGTGTGCCGCAATTCGCCAATTACAACGGTGCAGCGTGTCACACGTTCTCATTTGCGGCGCGCATCGCCTGCTAATTGTGTCGCATCGATCGTTCAGCCGCGATGCGTGCCGCTAGCATCTTGCATCTTCGGCCGGAGAGGCGTAATTAATGTCTTTCGGGAGACACATGGGAGCTCCTCGATATGTAAAAAAAAAATTTATCTTCCCTTCTCTTTACTAGAGAGAGAGAGAGAGAGAAAGGAGACTCTTCGCTCCGAACTTTCGAGAAAGAAGATTTCGTTCTCGAGGAAAACTCCACTTCGGGATAAACTCTCTCTACAAGGAAATACAAAATCGTGCCTGAAAAAGTCGGGAGGCA